CGCGGGTACTTCTTTCGATAGGCATCCCACTGTGCCCACATTTCCATAGGCGCGTTAACGTGACTACGGGACCCTCGTGGTCGACGCATGAAGTCAGGAACCTCCAGCTCGGCTCCCTCCACCACGGGGGCGGTAGGCACGGGAAGAGGCCGCACAGAGGGCTTTGATACAGACGGTGGAACCACACGGGACTGAAGCACAAGAGTCGGCTGGACACAGGCCGGCAACCGAGCGGGCGGAGGCGCAGGGGACGCAAACACAGAAGGCGATGGTGCAGGGGCCGACACCACAGGGGACGGAGTAACAAAGGATGACTGAGCAGAGGCCAAAGGCGTGGAAGGCACAGACATGGACGCCAGAGGCACGGAGGCCGCCGGAACAGAAGCATCTGTAAGAACCGGCACCAAGCCCCTACCCTCTCTCGCAATCTCGGCCGGTGCCACAACCTCCCAACCCAGGGAACCAGCAACCGGTGACGCGGAGGCAGCCGGAGAAGACACCGGACCAGGGCCAGGCGACAATCCCACCACAGGACCCATCACTGCTGCAACACGGCCCACAGGAGCCGCAGGCACTCCAACAGCGACGCACACATCACACTCCCCAGAAGACGAACTCCCGGAGTCCTCAAATTCCCCGACGTCGGCCCAGGCCGCATTATGAGGCGGAGACAGACTCAAAGCTCGTCGCGAACGCTTGGACACAGGTCGCAGATCGTCGGAATTATCATCCCCACTAGGAAGCACCGTAGCAGAACCGCTGGTTGCCCGCGCAACTCCCCGCAGCGCACGATCACTCGACATCGCAGCCTCAACAACCCGGGGAACAGGACCACACACCGCAGGAGACATCACAGTGTGCACGTCGACACGAGTCGAAGACACAGCTGCCGGAGACAGTACAGGCCGAGGCTCGGCCTCGATGCCCGGAGCCACGAGACCACACACCACAGGAGACACAACTGGAGACTCGACTGGAGACGAGGCAGGCAGGGGAGGCTGAGGTGCGGGAGCCGGGGATGCACTTCCTCCCACTCCGACACCCACAGCCACATCGCGGCTGGCATCAGAGACCGGTAACTGGGCAACAGAGGACTGGGTAGGAACACTGTCCACAGCAGCACCTTCCGACAGGTCCGGGACCGCCAACGGGGGAAAATCCTCCTCCCTGAAAAGGTTTACAGGCCCGACCCGGCTCGCATCACATCCCGCAGCCTGATGTCCCAAGAGTCCGCACCGGAAACACGTCCGGGGCTGACCCCCATAGAACACGCGTACCATGAAGCCCAGAAGCTGGAGAGACGAAGGGATGGAGTCCTTCAAGCGCAGCGCCACAGTGCGGGTCCCATTCGGGATACCCTTCCACCGCCCGGAGGAGACCGCATTCATTCGGACACTCAAGACCCGCCCATACCGGTTAAAATGACGCTGGAGAAGAGAGTCAGGGAACTCAAAGGGAGCACCATGAACCGCCACATAGGTAGTCTCACTGCACCTGTCCGACACTATCACCGAACCACCACCTCCAGGCAGAGTAAATGTCCTCCCGTCATAGCAGTCCACAAAGTCACGATACACAGCCGTAGAGCAGAATTTCACAACAGCTCGATGCTCGGATACAAGTTGAACGCCGCACACAGACGCCACATCCACCCGCAACATGTCAATCATCACCACCTCAACTGCCGGGTAAGAAGCTGGGCCAGTAAATTCTAAGCCAATGGTATCCCTCCGCCTCACAGGGGGGAGGGGGGCCGCCATCCCTCCAGCCGCCACGGCCCCAAGGGTCCGCTCACACACATAAACTACCACGGGGCAGCAAACCAGGAGCCCACCATAGATTTGATATTGGTCTATAATTGTTTATATCCGCCGGATTGCCTCCGGCGAAATGGAATTGTAACATATCTAGCATAGCATGTGTGTTGCTCTTACATGCAACAGATGGCGCAGGTTTTCAAGAAAAGCATTGTTTTACCTGTCACAGGTCTGGCATCTATTACACACAGAAATCACAATTTCATGATGCATCAAATAAACAAATCAACAAAGGCCGTAACGAGGATTCGAACCTGTGTCCGAGAGCATCCCAGACGCTGCCTTAATCAACTGAGCTGCGACATGGTCAAAAGTAGTTGAAACCGAAGTTCTACTGAGCTTACTGGATCCTGCAGCCTCTCTGAGGCATAAACCAGGGTTTTACACAACTCTCCCCATGCACTCGAGCTATGTCAATAGGCTGTTCCCCCTCTTCGCCCTTACTTCATTACACACAATGATGATTTGTTCATTTGATGCATCATGCAATTGTGATTTCTGTGTGTAATGAAGTAAGGGCGAAGAGGGAGAATGGCCTATTGACATAGCTCGAGTGCATGGGGGAAGTTGTGAAAAAACCCTGGTTTGTGCCTCGGAGAGGCTGCAGGATCCAGTAAGTGGGTTGGTAGGTTTAGTAGAACTTCGGTTTCAACTCCTTTTGACACTGTCGTAGCTCAGTCGATTAAGGCAGCGAGCGTTTGGGATGCTCTCGGACGCAGTTTCGAATCCTCGTCACAGCCTTTGTGGATTTGTTCATCTGGCATCTATTCTTATACTTATGAAATGAATAATATGGTAAACAACACAGCTCAATTCCAACACAATGTCACACAAAATAATTCACTAAAAAATTAAATAAATCGAAATCTATGAAAATAAAATTAATCAATGCAATCGGAAACAATGAATTGGAATTCGTGACATTTAGTATAGCGTGCATGTTGCCATTATATGCAACAGATGGTGCTGTTTTTCAAAAACGCATGTTTTTACCTGTCACAGGTGTGGCATCTATATAGTAGGCATATAAAAAGATGCGCCTATTCGAATGCAATGTTGTGTCAAAATTTCAAAGCAATTGGTGAAGAACTTTCGGAGATTACAGAGTGTATTGCTCTTACGTCCAACAGATGGGGCTGTTTTAAAAAAAAAACGTGTTTTTTCCTGTCACAAGTGAGACATGTATATAGTAGGTATATAAAAAGACGCGCCTATTCGAATGCAACGTTGTGTCAAAATTTCAAAGCAAACGGTAAAGAGGTTTCGAAGATTTCCCCCACATGAAAAACACATGAAAAACACGGTTTTTCAGAAAAGGCATGTTTTTTCCGTCACAGACGTGACATCTATATAGTATGTATATAAAAACCTGCTCGCATGCGAATGGAACGTTGTGTGAAAGTTTCAAAGCAATCGGTGAAGAACTTTCGGAGATTAGCGATTTTGAACTAACGAACATATCCATTTCATTTATATAGATTACTAGCTGTACCCGGCCACGCGTTGCTGTGGCTCAGCAACCATGTGCGTTGCTGAGCCTCAGCAACCTTCCCCTGTCTCCAGAACGCATGTGCATTCAGCTCAGCAATGCATGTGCGTTGCTGAGCCACAGCAACCTTTCCCTATCTCCTAGTCCTCCACACCATTCCCCATGCCCCATCCCTCTTCCACCCAGCAATTCCCCACTCCCCCGTCCCTTTGTCCTCCTCAACATTCCCCACTCCAGCATAAGTTCGTCCTTCTAACCATTCCCCACTCCATTGTCCCCTCCCCTACCCCACCATCTCCCCATTTCCCCATCCCCTCATCCTCCCTACCATTCTCCCCCCCCCCCTCCTCTGTCCCCTCGTACTTTCCACCAACCCCCACTCCTCTGTCCCCTTGTCCTCCCTGCCTTTCTCCATTCCCCTATCCTCTCGTCCCCAACTGTCCCATCCCCTTGTCCTCCCCACTATTACCCCCTCCCCTGTCCTCTCGTCATCCCCAAAATCCCCCACTCCCGTCCCCTTGTTCTCCCTGACATTTCCCACTCCCTCATTCTATGCATTCCCAAACGATCTGATGATCCCATCAGAAAATTAAGAACATCAAATAATCTGATGTTCCAATCACTGAAATATAAGAAAAACAGATAAAACATGAAATGAAAACAGAAGAAATACATAAATAAACTATACTCAGGAAATGAATGGTATGGTAAACAACACAGCTCAATTTCAGTGCAATGTCACACAAAATAAATTAAATCAAAATGAAAATAAATCGAAATTTATGAAAATTCAATTTATCAATGCAATCGGAAACATAGAAATGGAATCGTAACATATTTAGTATAGCGTGAGTTGCTATTACGTGCAACAGATGGCGCTGTTTAAAAAAAATCTTTTTACATGTCACAGGTGTGGCATCTATATGGTTGGTATATAAAAACACCCGTGTATTTGAATGGAACGTTGTATCAAAATTTCAAAGCAATCGATGAAGATCTTTCAGAGATTTTAGCATGTGTTGCTCGTACGTTCAACAGATGGTGCTGTTTAAAAAAAACACGATTTTTCCTGTCACAGGTGTGGCATGCATATAGGAGGTATATAAAAACACGCGCCTATTCGAATACAACGTTGTGTCAAAATTTTAAAGCAATCGGTAAAGAGGTTTCGAAGATTTCCCTCCCATGAGAAACACATGAAAAAATACAGTTTTTCCGAAAAGGCATGTTTTTTTCCCATCACAGACGTGACATCTATATAATATGTATATATGCAACGTCGTGTCAAAATTTCAAAGCAATCGGTAAAGTGGTTTCGAAGATTTCTCTCATGAAAAACACATATAAAACAAAGTTTAAAAAAAAAAGCATGTTTTTTCCGTCACAGACATGACATCAATATATTTTGTACATAAAAACCTGCTCGGATGCGAATGGAACATTATGTGAAATTTTCAAAGCAATCGGTGAAGAACTTTCGTAGATTAGCGATTTTGAACAAACGAACATTTCTATTTTTATTTATAAAGATTAACAGGTGCCACAGCCTACTTTACAGTGTACAAGACTGGGTAATAAAGACAATGTTTTGTATTCCATTGGAGTAGTTACGGAGGTGATAACAAGCAGAGTCCAGCAGTTACCTTCTTAGACTCGTTCTAGCGCCTCGCCGTTGTTATTAAGACGCCAGACTGCAGGAGAAGCTAGTGTGTGAGCTTAGCGAGGCTATGTGAAGGCTGCCTTGTGAGTTGCTGCTCAGATCTCTACGAGCTCTTGTGGCAACTGGTAGGTGTGTGTGTGTCTGTCTGTTTGTAAGGTTTTTGTGGCGGTTTATTTTTTCTTTAATATATTATGAATATTTGATTTAGTAAAGATCTCTTACTCTGAACATAATTTATACTGATCTCTTAAACAACAGATTTTTTATTTAGCGAGTACAAAAAAATAGAATTTTACATGCAGTTATTCTATAAATCCCCTCTTCCTGGTCTCCGTATTTAAACTAGGCATATTGAAATATCGGTAAAAGTTAACTACATGACTGTTAGGTTTAGGTTTGCCTACGGTGTCGACTGCGTAATTGTTAACTTTGTAAAGATTGACGTGGGGAGAGTTCAGACCGTAGTTTACTAAATATATTTAAATTGCTTAGTGGTCACGGATTAAAATCCCAGCCCACTCGCTTCCCCCCCCCCCTGGTCCCTTGGGTCGGTTTCAATAAAGGGGTCAAGGGATTGGAGTAAGTTTAAAGATTTGGTAAAATTTAATCTACAAGCCACTTGATGCACTTTACTGGATACGTAAATAACTATTTTTAGTAAATGAGACTTTCACTAGATAGTTGAAAGTTTTTATATGGCAGGAACTTCCAATATTGATTAGTGTCCGCGGGGGTTCTCTGCAACTGTCATTAACAAGCGGGTACTCGATTACTGAAGTGACAGTACTGTAGAGTATTGGCATGTTGTCGACCCTTCTATGCCAAGCGTTTTAAAAACTATATTTCTCTGGGTTGTAGGTACACCACCCGGGGCTTTTGAAAAGAGGCTGTTCACAAATGAACTTCATCCACAAGGAGGGGTGGAGGAGAGGGTGAATTAAAAGGCAGGATTTGGGTCAAGAGATTTTTAGTTCAGACAGATATATAAATGCAGCTATTGTATCACGATCTAAAATCTCTGACGTCGGTTCGCTAGAGTAACGGTGTACTTAAGAATGTTACTTCATGGGCCAATAAGATTTTTTACTTAAATCTACCTCTTCGCAGGATAAACATTGGCAGTTGTCTACCACTCCTTCACGTTCCACTTGTTTCTTCATAATGTTTTGGTAAGTTAACTTAATGCTTTACATTTAAACGTGAAGTTGGACGAACTAAACTGTTCATTGGGGGCCATTAATCCTTTCCCAGTCTCTCGTTAGTGGTTCACGCACTAGAAAAATTTTCCTTCTCCTATAACTTGATTTAACAGGGAAACGAAGGAATTTGCTTGGTACGCAGGTTTGTTTTTTAATATAAAAACTTGTGGGATGTGTTGTAACTTGCTCGTTTAGTGTTTAAGGACTTGGTATTTTTCTTTTATTAGTAAATTCAAAGGACTAGCCTAATGGTGTTGTCTTTGACAACCCGCCTTACCCATATACATAAAGGCCCATACACGTCGGGGGGGGGGGGCCCCCCCCCACAACTCTGCATGTATACGGGCTGCCCGAACAATAATTCCTCCAAGAATTGGAGCTTCACCTACCCTTGAAGCGTGGTAAGTTTTGCTAGTGGCTTGCAGAACGGCCGTAAGTAATTGAAGACTTGAATAGTCAAACGTGTTGACCCTGCCTGAATCAAATGACAAAGGGTAAATATTTGAGTAGACAAGCTTTAAAGATTAGTTATTAGAGCATTGGGTTTCTTTAATAGATGTAAACAATTTGGTTTTTAAATTTTTGTGGCAAGGTAGGTGATGTAACCAGGCAGAGAACAGTTGACCCAGTGCACGTTCAGTTTTCCCTGTAAACTAGACTGGCATAAAAAGCTAAATTGCTTTAAATTTCTGGGAACGATACTAGTCTGCAAATTGCCTAAATCTTTTACAAAAGTGGGTAGGACTGTCTAAAATAGATTAAAGAAACAAATTATCTTCCAAATAATTTGCCTAGAAACCACTTGGTTGCTCTAATATTAAAGTGTACAAAATAAAACGGTTCTGTACTAGAGGGGCTTCACAGCCCCCCCCCCCCGTGTCTTCTCGGACGTGCAGAGAAGTTTCGGGTCGTACTGCCGGAGGGGTGTCGTCTGGAGGCTCGGGAGATGCTCGGTCTATCCTAGTGTTGACCACTAGAGCAGAGACTTGCTAGGATCAGTACAGGCAATGTATCACGTTGTGCACTGTCCAGCACTCTGCCTCATATGCTGGCAGTAATACGTAATTTTCATTAGATTCCCCTCCCAGGCCCCTAATTTGCATACCGAGCATAATAAACTTTAGATTTTTCAAACTCCGAAGCCGCTCCAATTTAAAATTGGGTTCTGCTACTCTGGCAAAATCTTGATCATACAAGTTTCTATGGTAAACCCTGCACTATTCTTCAAACTCGCTAGATTCGGCCCTATCTAGTCACCATGAGTAACTTGTTTTAACAAAACTTGCTTAACTTTGTTAAAGGGAGCTTGTTACCTTGAGTGTCTTCTTACTGCAAATGGAATGCGTGCTCCTTCACTCTATACACGTAGTTTGTCTTAAGATATCATTAAAAGATTTAAAGTGTAAATACACAGGTGTACACTACCTTTTGAATTGGTTGCCTCAATGGTATTTAGAGGCCCTAAAAGTAAATCTGTTTTGACAGTCGGCTTACTCCCCCTAACGTCACAACTGGGACCAGGTAACTTTGACTAAAAAATTTCCCAAAGTTATTGATCTCCAGGTTGTAATCATTCCTGTGGCTTTAGTGCAGCTTGTACCTTGACCTAGACTCCAGTGACTCTCTCGAGAGGTTTAGGAATGTTCGCCTCTAGTTTACCTGCTGGAAACAAGACCAGGGTGCCTTGTTGTGGTGGAAAAGTCTCATTTGCCCTCTGTAGTTTCCGAAATCTAGAATCGGAATTACTGCAGTCTTATTACAGCTTAAATCGCCTAACAGTCGAAAGACTAAACATAATGTAGCTTTAGCAAAGCTTTTGAGCATGTCTATTGAAGGGGGCTTAGAATTCTGGATATTGCAGGTACCATCTTAACCATGCTATTACCGCTCTTCAAAGGAAGACACAAATGTGGACTGCGGTAGTAACTTCTGTAAGTACTGCCTCGCCCCAGTCCTGGAACTCGGTCCACTATTTAAGAATCCTTTCTACAAAGGACAAAAAAATTAGGTAGGAAAATTAATTTCTAAGGATTGTTCTTCGATCTAGTAAAGGCTTTGAAATTGAGAAATGGACAGATGCACTGGGTTCTGAGACTAGGTAGCGAGTTGGCAGGTATGGGATAACTGGTAAATTCTTAGTCGGAATCCAAAGATATGTTGGGCAGGTTTTTACTTCTATAAATACATATGCATGTTTGGAGTAGGGCAAATGTTACCATAAATTTGGAAGAATTGGTAGGCTACTAGTGGTTTTTCTCTAGATGGTCTTAAATTGTGTAGCTAAACTTCAGTAACAAAATTACAGCACGGACGTAAATCCACCCGGACAACTTTGAAGGATTAATTTAAATTGGAAAACTGCATCTTACAAAAAAGTTGAAGGTAATGCTAGTTTTAATGTTGCTGGAAACGATGTAACAAATCTCTAAATATGCTGAAAAATGGAAACGTCAACATTGCGTTTAAATTGGTAAAGTTTGAAATTATATTTGAGGACGACCTCTGCAAATACTGATGAAAACGGTAAGTTACTAGGCAACAAATTCCCCCCACCCCAAAATAAAGTTGAAAATGCCTAAGACGTCCTATAAATGTTGCCTAATAAGGGAATACTGCTTCTAAAGTTGGTTTAATGTTCTCTTCTACAGGCCCTCTAGAAGAGCGTGCAAGGTGTTTGGCGTGGCGGCCACAACTACAGCTGCCGTAGTTCTAGGTGTAAGGCTACACTATAGATCTCAGGCGGGCAGGTGCTCCTCCCAACGACAGCTCTTGGGACAAACTGTTGTAGTCACCGGAGCTTCCGCTGGTAGATAAAACTTACCAAAGTTTCTCACCACGGGTGAAAGTTATTTAAGGCTGGAAAGTTTAACGACCACATTTTGTAACATTTAAACTCTAGCTTGGGCCTTTAATTTATAGGAGTGAAAGTTCTGTTGATTAGTGTTAGTGTATCATGGACCTGTTTAAGTAGTGAATTTAGTTTATTCTTCACTGCTCGTGGAAAGATGGAGATTCATTAATTGGTTGTACTGTCATTCTGGTATCTCCCAACTAGGCATTGGGAAGGAGGCTGCACGAGACTTGGCCCAACGAGGCGCACGGGTTATCCTCGCCTGCAGGAACATAGAGAAGGCCCAAAAGGTTGCAGGTAAATATTGACGAGGAACAGTAGATTTCACTGTATAGCTTGATTCCCTCATCATTCCATGTTGGGTCAAACACACAGTATTCAACAAAGTACTTTGTTTAACTTGACTGGCATTCGGTAAGCTAATTAAAAAATTACTTTGGGCTTCCTATAAATGGGGAACCAATGTTTTGATGGAAGATTAGAATTTTATGGCAGTGCTCCTGCCTGCTAAGTGACTTGTACAAAAGACCGTGTACTATTACTTCATGTAATCTTGCTTTCAGACGATATAATAAAAACTACAGGTAACAGAAAAGTTGAAGTGCGTCAGTTGGACACTTCAGATCTGTCATCGGTCAGAAAATTTGCTAAAAGCATCTTGGCAACGGAGAAGTCTCTGCATGTCCTGGTAAGAAATTTATATTTTTTCAAAATGTAACTTGCTATATATTCCAAGTTTCCATGTGGAAAAAAATCCTTGCTCTATATTAACTTTTATGCTTAAAGCCCAGGCTCGGTGTTTTGTTTGTACACACTCGCTCTCTGGAAGGGCTTCACAGAACCTAGAGGCTGCTGCCTAAAACATTTGGTTCAGACTTCCGGAGGACAGATTCGTGTTAGAAAATTTTTACTACTAGCTGTGTACCCTGCCACGCATTGCTGTGGTTTAACAATGCATTGCTGAGCCACAGTAACCCTCCCATCCCTCTCCTCGCCACCACTCCCTTGTCTGATGCGTTCCAAGATCTGATTTTTCCCATCAGAAAAATGGAACATCAAAAATATTGTTCCCATTAATGGAAAAAAGTACAGAAAGTAAACACATTGGAAAAATTATGGGAAAAAATACTCTAAGGAACGGTAAACGGCTAAATTCTAACGCAATGTCGCACAATTAGATACAATTTAATTGTATGAAAATTAAATTTAATAAGTGCAATCAGAAAAATTTAAATGGAAATGTAACTTTTAGTATACCGTGTTGTCACAAACGGTGCCATTTTCATAAAACGTTGCTCTTTCTAATCGCGGGCGAGGCATGTATAAAGTATGTATGTAAAACCCCGCCCAGATGTGAATGGAATAGTGTCAAAATTTCAGACATTGGTGAAGAATTAGATCATGAAAATACATTTTAATTTTATTCATAGAATAGTCTTCTATATAAATTAACGAGCAATGGAAAAGTGATCACGAACAAAATCTTCGTGGACAATGTGTTAATAGCGTCCTCGTGCAGTGTTAAACCAGTGCAGTTGTCGCAAAGGTATCGTGGTCACAATCTGCTGGCATGTCGCATTGTAAATGCTAAACATCTCTATTGTAGTAAAGACATAATTTTGATTAATGGACACTTGCCCGTTCTGGGTAATTAGTCTACCACATAACATCTCGAAGTCGAACTATTAAACTGCCAGATAATAAATTTGGTAACCAGAACAAAGTACTTGCAAATAATTTTGCGACGTCGCTGTGAAGAATGTATTGGTTATTCTCGCTAATGTGTAGCACTACGCAGTGTCCAATCAGAAGCTAACCTTTATGGTGCCGTCCTCACCGTCCCAGGGAACTCCCATGTATCAAACTGGATGGAGCCACGTAGAGCTCTGTGGGACTGCTGGTGACATCTCGCCACTTTGCGCCCCCCCCCCCACCAGTTACTTGGTTTCCTGTGGCCGAAGTACTTTTATCCACTAGAGTACCTTGCCTTCTACTCCTGACCGTTTCTCCACCTTTTGAAACGGACTCTTATGGGATACTGTAAAATTTAAAACGGTTGCAAGACAATGCAGTCTGCCCCCTATCCCCCCCCCCCTCCTCAACTATTCTCTTACCAAAGTTTTTTGTCGGCTGGTTATAGAATTGTACTAAACCTGCGAGACATGATTTACCATCCCTGAACACTTCCTGGAGGCGTTACAAATCTCCCAGATGTTGTAAATTTTTCCATGCAATCTTTTCCATTGCCTTGCATGGGATAAGTAAAGAACTGGCCTGTAGTAAAGTTTCTCCTTGCTAGTCACCAGTTTTGTATATAGACACGTTAACGATCTCTCGGCTTTCTGATAGGTCTTTCCAGTGACTTGTTATGTACCATACTAGGGGCACTTGGAGCGTCTACATTCTCTTTTAGTATCCATGGCGAGTGTAGTTTAATGAAACCAGATACAAATAATGGGTTGTACCATATTGGACGATTGGAGCCACCAGTAGACTATGCTTGTTTTGAGTAATTATATATGTAAAAAAAATTATGGTGCAAATTTTAAGATCTGTTAAACTTCCTTTTTACTTTATATCCTTCTATTGGATAATGGAAGGATATATCTTCCTGACCACACTTATTGTATCAATACCACACCACTGAAATGTTCACACCTGAACACAAGGTAGAACCCATTATATAAACTCTTTAATGGTTTCCATTAGCAAGTTTATGGCACAAATGTGCAGTAAATATACAGGTACCAGGTAAAACTATTTGAATACCTTTTGTCAAACTTTGATTCGCTAGTGTCACTGATCCATATAGAAACCCCATTCTAAAATATATAAACATTCGACCAAATATTAACCATGTAATAGTTCATCAGTTAATCACTTCAGTGAATCAAATTAGTGTAGTATACTGTACTATTTAGGACCAAAATGGCATGTATTACGCATATGGATACCAGGAGGAAATTATTTTGGTTGCTGTTAGTTGGTTCATCGTATTAGTGAATTTGAACTTCCTGGTTGTCCGTAACTACATTGGTACTTTTCTCCAAATAGTAAATTTATTTAGATGGAAAATATATGGGCATAAATCCTGTAACAATGCTGCCCTGACCTACGTGTCTGTGACAGATGAACAACGCAGGAACGCTGGGCATGGTTGAGAAACGCACCACAGCAGATGGTCTGGAGCTGACTATGGCCACCAACTACTTTGGTCACTTCCTTCTCACCAACATGGTCTTGGGTAAGTGACCTCCGTCACCTTTGTTGGCTGGCTGCATTAATATCCTGACAAAGTAATGCCTTCATTAGTAATCTGTGGAGCTTCTATCAACTTGATGCATGGTGTTTTAAGTAGTTGCATGATTGCTTTATTTTGAAGTGTTAGTCCTTCATCATTTTCAATATTTGGTGTACATTAGTCTTCTGAATTGTCAGGTTTTTGTATGGTGGTACACTAGCAGTGTTTTAACGTTAACTGTAATTTAACTAGTATAGTATAAACTTAATCTTGCCAAATGAAAGATAATCCCCCGAATAAGTTGTAACTTACGGCACCAATTTTAATAAATTGGTTATTCTTGCAAAATTACTTGGCATAAAGATTTCCCTGAAATAGTTATTAAAATAGTGATCGAGACATTTTTAATACGGTAATTGGCGGTTGTCGTTACATGTTGTGTAGTAATTTTTTTTTTCTTCAAATGTTTATAAAACTACTGTACTCAAATTGTTTTATTACTATGCTGGTGCTGCATTGCCTTCCCGGTTTGGTGCCTTTTGATTACTTCATTACTATGCGTGTTGGTTTGCAAATGTTGACCAGACCACATACTAGAAGGGGAAGGTAGGACGACGTAGTTTCGGTCCGTCCTGGACCATTATCAAGTAGATTTATTATGGACTTGAGAATGGTCCAGGACGGACCGAAACGTTGTCGTCCCTTCAACTTCTAGTGTGTGGTCTGGTCAACATACTTTAGCCACGTTATCCAGGACCAGGGGCCCCCCACCCCTGGTCCTTAAATTAAATATTCGTTTTTGTGCAAACTTCCCTGAACTCCAACTTCTAATCACTCGGTTTTCCCCGTCTCTGAGCCGATGCAGAGTGCTCGTCCTGGTCACTTCCATGGTTATCCTTACCAGAACTTTTTTTGAACCGTCTGGCACGATGTTATGACAGACGCCCGGGGCTGCCTTTTTTGAACCTTTTGTCCCCTTGTCTCTTCTGAATTGTTGAGCCAACTCGTGTTGACTCTCTCACCCTTTCCTGTCTTGATCTTTCTGTTCTTCTCTTTGGACTTATGTTGGTCAAAATGAAACCGTATTAAGTGACCATTTCTCCCTTCCCCCCCTCCTCTAACCTTGACTTCTCTTTTTGCCCTTTCCTTTGCTAGGTTTGCTAGGGCTAACTGAAACCTCTTCACTGTGCTAATCTTTGACCTTTGATCTGCCTCTCCCACAAGCCTGCATCCTCTTTAATGAGTTTTGATGCTGCTGTTCCTCGCTCTCCCTATAGGGGCGTGCAGAAATGAGTTACCTGGTGCAATGCAAACTCTGTTCGGGCTGTCGGCATGCAGCCTGGAAGAAACTACATTGTTGTAGGACGCGGCCCCCCCCCCCTTTTTATAATTTCGGAAGGTAAGTGCAGTGGCCTGTAGTGCCATCTGTGTGGGTAATCGTGAGGGTTGGAGATCTTTAGTTTCCACCATTACGTCTGACCCATCTTTCCTTATCTGGAAGAGAATTGGCATGATAGCGGGTAAGATTTTTTTCCTGATGTCTCGCCAGTCTTTAACCTCCGCGGTTCTATTGTGGCGTATCTGGTCAGTAGGGATCGAACTTGGTTCTCACTTCGATTGTTGGCTCCGGGTCTAATCTCCCTCCTCCTTTCCTTACTCGTAAACCCTTCTTGAATCTTCTCCCTAATTTTTTTTTATCTTCAGCTTATCTATAACCTCTCCATTCTGCTCTGGCCCTCTAGTTGTACGGCAGCGGGCTCGAATGATAGAGATGCTTCGCCATCTCCCTCCATGCACGTTTGCTTTTAGTATGTTTATAACCGTGCCTGAGTAATTGTCAATACCTGAAGACTGGCTTGAGGCAATAGTTCTTCCTATTAGGAAACCTGGTTCTCAAGGGTCGTCCCTTAAGGGCTTCTACATTATTGCTCTCCAAAAGTTGAATCTGCAAACCATGAATGTAAGGTTCGTCTGATGTGGGTCTTGGAACGCTATCACCACCACCTCTTCGTTGTCTCGGCACAACTGATGAACTTGGAGGTCTAGAATCGCACTCCCTTTGCTGCGAAACCTGACCTTTTTGCCTTGGAAAAGACGCAAGACACCACCTGGTGATGCTGTATTGTCCCAACTTTCGTGGTAATCTCCCTCTTCCTCCAGAGCTTCCTCTTGTATTTCCTTTAGTGAGTCTTGTTATCACTTTGCCTCTTTTTCGGTAATATGAAGGTGTGCCCCGAGGTAGTGTTCTGAACGCTATTCTATTTTTTTTTTTTTTTTTTCTTCTCCTGGCTGCCCTCGATGGTCTTCTTTCCTCCTGACTTTCTTTCGCTGTTTACTCTCGCCCTCTGTCAAGGTATTACTCGCCTTTCCTCCAACTTGAGATTGATGCAGTGTCGTCCTGGGCTACCAATCGTGGCTTAATTCTGCAGCTTAGACTTGTGCTATGACCTTTACTCGGAAGTAGGTCGTCCTTCGACCCCCTGTCCCTTTATGGTAAACTTCTTTCGTGTAAGAATTCTGCAAAACTTCTAATGTTAATCTTTGACACTCGCTAGTCCTGGTACCCCGTATCTCCTACCTCGGTTGAATGCCGAGGCCCTTGACTAAAAGCTCTTGTCTCACACATCCTGGGGAGGTGATAGGAACTCGTCATTAATTTCTTTTGCTGTTTAAACTCTTAAGGCTGTCCTTACTAGTCTGCTTCTTCCTCCACCCTTCGTAGTCTTCATCTTCACCGTACAGGGCTCGGTCTTGGGTCTGGTGCCTTTCGACCGACCCCCTACCCTGAGCCTGTCGATAGACCAGAATCCTGTCTGTACAGAATCGACGTGATGGCTGTCATCGCTACTATGCGTGATCCCTAAAACACCTTATTTAGCTTGTCATACTTGGACCATTACCCCATCCTTTGGGCCCCCCTTTTAATTTTCTACTACCTTCTGTTTTATGTACGGTTATCATACTTGCAAGGTTCCCTCTCGGTTCATGTAGCCAATGTTTGTCATTCCATCCTTTTTACCCCCAAGGAGGGTCCCTCTTCATAGATTTTGCAGAAGCTTAACCTGCGTGACTAAGGGTTTTACCTCCTTTCCCCCCCCCCTCTCCTACAATTATGAAACTCTATTTTCTTGCTCATTTTCTTCACATTATATCAGTCTTCAATCTGTCTGCTGACAGTGTAGGCTACTCGGTTGTTTCCCAATTGCACCTATGTCGCAAACCTCTTAGACTAGCATCTTCACGGCTGAACTTTATGCAGTTTGTTTGCTTTTCAACTGCTTTCTCATTGTATTTCTTCCTTTGTAGTACTCTTTCGCAGTGCCCTCGTGGCTCTGGAGTACTATAATGCAGTCCATCCTGTGGTCGGAAATTATCTTGGCTGTTTATCTCCAACAGACTTGTTCATCTTAACACACTGTTTATCTCCAACAGAACGATCGGCGTTCAATCCCCCGACCGTTCAAGTGGTTGGGCATCTTTCCTTCCGAACCCCCGTCCCATCCCAAATCCTTATCTTGACCCCTTCAAAGTGCTATATAGTCGTAATGGCTTGGCGCTTTTTTTTCCCCCCTGATAGTTCAATTCAATTCCAACAGACTTAAAACAGTCTAGTTTTGCTGGGTTCCCAGCCATATTGTTGCATTCTTCAATGAGCATGCGGATGCTAAGGAAGCTATCCGCACCTATCCTGTAAAGGTGTTCCCTATCCTAACTTCTACCCAGTTATTTAGTCCTCAATCCTAAACCGTTTGGACGGTCGTGGATCCTTTCACTCACAAGCTGTGTGCTCTTAAGGGTGGTGTGCCCATGGCACTCCTCCTACCACTGTAACAGACGGTGGGAAACGAAAACGAACAAGGTTACGTATTGGCCATACACGCATAACTTTTGGGCACTTAATGGAGCGCTGCCATGTTCCTTATTGTCCGAATTGAATTTTCTCTTACGGTCGTGCATATCCTTGTTGAATGTCCTAACTTCCACGATGTGCATGTATCTTGCTTCTCAACTGTCCCTTGCAGTCACGTGTCCCTTGTTAGTATCCTTGGTGAATCTAATGTCTGATTTTTGTTTGCAGTCTTCGCTTTTATTCTCGTATTTGCATCCTTGGTGATATTTAGCGTCTTTTGAATAACCTGCTCTTTTGATGGTGCTACATTGCCTCCCCAGCTTGGTGCCTTCATTTGATAATTACTCCAGGTGCTCAGACCCCAGGGAGATACAAATTTATCTAATGGTGAGCAATTGAGAGAAGTAGACACCCTTCATGTATAATTTTTAAATGGTACATTTTTGTAATGTTACTGTTGATCACTAAAGTGAAAATTTACACTTCTAAATTTGCCTAAGTTTTCATAGTGTGTGGAGGTCTGATTTAACAAGTTTATTGAAACTTTCATCTTGAACCTCGTGGATATCCATGAGGGGTTTGGGTTAAAAAAAAATTGCAATGAGCGGTTATTAAATTAATTGGGGGGGGGGGGGGGAAACTTGGTTTGGAGGCACTGTAACAGTGGGAGGGGTGGTTGAAATGCCACCAACCAACATACTGGTCTCAAAGCGGCTACTAGTTGTAGTTCTTAACATAAGTTAATCTGCTTAATTAATATTTAAACTGCTGGTAAAACTGGCACGAAACGGTTATGGGTAATAAAATATTAAATTTCCTTCTAGGCTGATGACACAATGTCTCTGAATGATAGTTTAATCCCTAGGCCTACTGAAATCTAGTACTCCAAGCCGGATCATCAATGTATCGTCAAGCCAACACCTTGCGTGCAAGTCGTTTAATCCGGATGACCTTAACTACGACGTGAAAGCTTACCCTGGCTTTGAAGCCTCTTACGACGACAGCAAGCTCGCCAGCGTACTCTTCACTGTGGAACTTTCCCGCAAGCTGCGCGGCTCAGGTTAGTTAAGGCCAGAAAAATAGTTGGAAGAACTGGTTTGTGTTGGTTCTTGCTTACGTGTACATGTACTCCACAGGTGTGATCGCAAACAGCGTTCACCCGGGGATTGTGTCCACGGAGATCATGCACAAGGAGGGAGGACCCTGGTTCTTGCGTTACATCGCCGCTTGGCCCATCTGGCTTATGGGAAAAGTATATATTGATAATTGTTGTACGAATGTGATGGAGCTGTAAAGTATTACACAATATTAAATGTGTTCATATCAAGACGATCTTGATCTAACACTTTAACACTTCCCTCTTTAAGGATGCGAAACTTGCTGCCGAGACGCTGATTCACCTGGCAGTGTCAGAGGAGGTAGACGGTATCAGCGGAAAGTACTTCGTTGACTGTAAGGCAAGTTAACTAGTGTTCGTTGTTCATATCAAACTACCAGACTTAATATTAACTTCGTATCTTGTAAAGAATCTAGACATTTATTTTGCTTGCATGGAATTTTAGTGGATAAGAGCTGCTACTGATTTCTGTAATTTATTGGATGGAGAAAAAATTGGATGGATAAAACCTGGTGTCCTCACCTTTACATTTCCTTGTAACACAGGGCATTACAATCTTGTTAATGTGAAAATAACTTGAGCAGATTAAACTAGTGTAGTTTGTAGTAAATAGCTCAAAGGTCGGCAATTCTTGAGTTTGTAATGCCTGTATATTTTGCAAGATGAGCAGTTTTGCAAACAGATTAATTGTATTAAAATTTGAAACTTTAACTATGTATAATCGTAATGCATACCAGTAAGGACATCTAATTTAGTAACCCGAGACTAGTGTTGACCCTGGCGTCACTAGGCGCTTCCCACAAGGTGCTTTACTAGCACAGGGATGTTTATCAGCGGTGAGAGATGGAGTGTTTCAAAGAATGGGAATTTTAGTCCCTGGTGTTTCTGCTTTTTGATGCCCTGCCTAAGGGTTGCCTTATGGTGAGGGGGCTCACGTACGACTCCTTGGGGGGGAGGGGGGCCGGTACACGCCTGTAAGACTAATCAACGAACTTCTTGCTGGAAGGTCTGCCCATAAGGGGCTGCCCTTGGTGAATGGTTGGGTGACCAGGCTAGGGACGAAAGGGAGATGATCTTTGCACCATACCAGCGTGGGAGAATGGACGATGCAGTAACGTCCCCCTACCCCCCTTTTGTTAAAGGTAATCGACCCTCAACGTCGTCACTGATGGGAGGACGATGCACCCCATCCTGCACTGGCTAGTGCTCGGCCTTCCTGGCTGCCCTGGTGGCATCCCGTGGCTCTAGGACCCAGACTTTTAAAATTGATCACGTGTGGAAACTGACCCTGTGTGTTTTGACACCTCACACTTGTCTAACGGCTGTTGTCCATCCTCTTCCCGGCAATCTTCTTTACCTGTTCTCCTCCTCTTAGACTATGGAGGCTGTCGCCCAGCACATTGTTACTGGTACACTTTAAGTCAAACATAAGCCTGGCTCCTCTCCTCCCACTTCGGCAGGTAAGAAGGCATCGCCCTCTTTCCCACCTTTCGAATGTCTCCCCTTACCATTTTGGTGATTTGGGGGGGGGGGGGCCTGTCCCAGCTATGTTTCTCCGTTTCATTGGTATTTTTTATTTTAGATTTAGTGTTAACAGGGAAACACAAATTAATGACATCGAAATAGGGAGTGAGCTAGGGAACAGTGATCACAAAGAAATCAGATTTAGCATAGAATGGAATAGACCTGTAGGAGAAAATTCTGTTAGTGCCAGATTTTCGAAAAGCTGATTTTAATAGCCTTAGAAATTTTTTGGGTCAAATTGATTGGAAAGTCTTGGGTATGGGTTGGGGGCCGGTCTTGGAGCGAGACATGAACCCAGCGATAGGTGACATATATTGAATCCACATGGAAATCCCCATTTACAACTTGTTTAAGAATATTCTAAACAAAGCACAGGAACGTAGTATACCATACAAATTGAATAGATCGAATACCAATGACCCAAAGTGGATAACAAAGAATTTGAAGAACCTTATAGGTAAAAAGAGCTTGGTACAAAAGGATTAAAAATGGAAGTCACTTTGGAACAGGAATTCGTAAAACTGGTTAGAAATGTTAGAGATAAGGCAAGCAAAAAAACTATGAAGTTCGCATAGCAGCGCAAGCAAAGACAAATCCTAAAGGGTTTTTTCAGTTATATCGTACTAAGACTAGGGAAAGGATAGGTCCATTAAAAACTGAGACAGGTCAAATAACAAATAGTGATGAAGAGATGAGTAGTATTTTTAATAAATTTTGTATCTGTATTTACTAAAGAGGAACTTAACAATATGCCTTCAGCCGAACAAGTCTGTGGATGGGGACGAGGACAGGTTGACGAGTTGAGCAGTTACCAGGGAGGATGTTCTTAAACAAATAGTAAAACTCAAACCAAACAAATCCCCAGGGCCGGATGAAGTGTTTGCCAGGGTGCTTAAAGAATGCAAAGAGGAGCTTTGTGACCCACTGTCTACCATTTAATAAATCAATAATCAGGCAGTGCCAGAGTTTTGGAAAGTTGCTAATGTGATACCAGTTTTTAAGAAAGGAGATAGATCACTTGCGTCTAACTATCGACCAATTAGCCTAACGTCTATTGTGGGAAAGTTACTCGAATCTATAATAGCAAATAAAATTCGTCTTCATCTTGGAAAACATAAATAGTCGCAACATGGTTTTATAAATGGCCGTTCATGTTTAACAAATTTGTTATCTTTTTATTCTAGCATTGTTGAGGCAGTTCATAGTGGTAAGGATTGCGATGTTGTGTACCTTGACTTTAGCAAAGCTTTTGATACACTGCCACATGAAAGACTGATTAAAAAGTTACTCATGGTATTGGGGGTGCTATATTAAGCTGGATTAGGGCATGCCTATACCAAAGGAAACGGTTAGTATAAATGGAGTCAAGTCAGTGGGAAAATGTTGTAAGTGGGGTGCCTCAGGGCTCTGTCCTGGGACCTCTGTTTATAATATATATAAATGATTTAGATTCAGGTTTGAGTAGCAACATTTGCAAATTTGCCGATGATACGAAAATCGGTAGGGAAATTAATTCGGAGGAGGACTCGCTATCACTTCAAGTTGATCTAGATAGGGTTTTGAAATGGTCAAAGGATTGGCAGATGCAGTTTAATGCTGATAAATGTAAAGTTCTGAGGTTAGGTAATGATGATAGTTACAAGATACGAGCTAGATGGTGTTGAGATTGCGAAGTCGGATTGCGAAAGGGATCTGGGAGTTATGATTAGTAAGAATTTAAAACAAAAGGATCAATGCATAAATGTTCGTAATAAGGCAAATCGGACACTTGGATTTATTAATCGCAGCGTTAGTAACAAGACACCTGGTGTGGTTCTCAAGCTATATCTTGCTCTAGTTAGGCCCCATTTAGATTATGCAGTTCAGTTTTGGTCGCCATATTATAGAATGGATATAAATTCACTTGAACGTGTAGAGCGTAGGATGACTAAGTTAATTCCCCAAATTAGAAATCTTTCATATGAAGAAAGATTAACAAAGCTTAAGTTGCATTCACTGGAAAGGCGAAGAGTTAGGGGCGACATGATAGAGGTTTACAAGTGGGTGAATGGACATAACAAGGGGGATATTAATAGGGTATTAAAAGTATCAACACAGGACAGAACACGAAATAATGGGTATAAATTGGATAAGTTTAGATTTAGGAAAGACTTGGGTAAATACTGGTTCAGTAACAGGGTTGTTGATTTGTGGAACCAATTGCCGCGTAACGTGGTGGTGGGGTCCCTCGATTGTTTCAAGCGCGGGTTGGACAAGTATATGAGTGGGATTGGGTGGTTATAGAATAGGAGCTGCCTCGAATGGGCCAATAGGCCTTCTGCAGTTACCTTTGATCTTATGTTCTTATGTTATGTTCTTACGTCCGGCTCTGGGCCATCCTCCTGCTCCTTACACTCCCTCGCCCTTGCTAAATTTACCCACATCATGAAACCCCAACGTCACTTATTCGGATCTTGCTTGGTACAGAGTTCTTCCTTGCCTCTGGTTTTCCACTGTGCTGTTCTATTTTTTAGTTCTTTAATGGAACATTAGTGGATTTCATTTAAACTTCAGTGAACTCTACTTCTGATAAGTTTTCACTGCTTATCTCCAGGAGGCCATGGTTGGTGCTCGTTCTGGTCACTTCTGCGGTTATTTATTTCTTCCCCGCTTCCCTCAAGTCCCAGCAAAAGCTGGGTCCCGTAACTACTGTTCTCTTCACTTGCAATACTATTCCCTTCATCCTACTTTTTCAGTCGCCCATTCGGTGTTCTACAGCCCGTATCTTTGTGAGTAGATGGTAGTCTGCTCAGTTTCTCCCCCCCCCCCCCCAAAGTCCCACTTTCTCTTCCTGAACTTAAAGAAGTGTTGGACTTCTTACCAGAGCCTACACTCTTTTTACATGATTTAACTGTCGCCATACCCTCTGGGTGTTCTGACATCACTTGAGGCCTGCTGCCTTAAACCTTTTGTCTTGATTCTGAATTCTGGCGAGCCAACTCGTGTCGACTCCAGCACTCGCACATCTTTCTTGTCTTGACCTGTCTTTCCTTTATTTGGACTTCACCTGGTGGGGCTCTTGATGACCTACATGTGAGCATTTCCCCATCCTAGTCTATTTTCAGTCTTTCCCCTAAATGGCAGTTTACCAAGGCTGACTGGCATATATTCACCCTACATGCTTTTTTTCCTTTTCTCGCCACTCTGCCTCGAGCCCTCCTTTTCCTGACGATATTAGACGCTGCCTTCTGCTCCATTCCTTGCTCTGTCGCCTGGGTCACACGGGCAGTGCATTCCTTGGTGGCATGCAGACTGTTCGGGCTGTCTGCTATAAGCGTGAAGCCTAGAAGAAACGGCAACGCCGGCAGACGGATTTAGTTTCGGAACGTGTGCGCGTAGAACTATCCGTACAGCTAAACGAGAGTTGGACATCTTGGGTTTACATCATTGTCAAATACGCCCCAGTTAGAAGAAAATCTGAAAGATGACGCAAGTTTATACCAATGTCTCGCCAGTTTTTCACCTGTGGTACTATCGTGGCAGATCCAGTGACGGTCGCGACCGAACTGGGTTCATTTTTAGACTATTGGCTCGGGTTCTTATTCCTTCCTTACTTCGTAAGCCCATTCTTGAATCTCTTCCCTTACATTTCCACACTCGTCTCGGAATTCCCTTTAACGGTTTCCGAAATTGTCTGCCCTGGCCCTCTGCGGGTTCTATAGTAGCGGGCTCAGAAGACATTCATAGATGGTTTTCCATCTTCCATGTGCGTCTCTGTATTAACTGAATCTGGGAGTCGTCGGTCCTCAAGGACTGGCTCGATACGGTTGTCCTCCC